CCCCGCCGCCGGACGCCCCGGCCCCCATCGTGGTGGATGACAAGCTGGAAGAGCTCATCCGGCAATTTGAAGCTGAATTCGGGGAGAATTTCAACCTGCAGCCCCCCGAGACACCCGCCCTGCTCCCACCTGGGGCTGCCGAGCTGCCGGGGGGGCTGCCACCAGCCCCACAAGTGCCCCCCACCACCACCACTACCGCCGCCGTCCCGGCATCCAGCAGCGCTCCCCAAGCCGGACCCAAAAGCTTTTCATTCTCCCCGGGGAAGGGGTCACTTTCAGAGCCTCCCTTCACTGCCCGGTCCCCGAAACAGATCAAAATCGAGTCTTCTGGTGCTATCACCGTGGTGTCCACCACGTGCTTTTACTCTGAAGAAACCCAAAACCCGGAGGCGGACGCCGCCGAGGGGACGCCCACCAAGGACGAGGTGCCGCTGACGCCCACCCTGAGCGGCTTCTTGGAGTCGCCGCTGAAATACCTGGACACGCCAACCAAAAGCCTCCTGGACACCCCGGCCAAGAGGGCACAAGCTGAGTTCCCCACCTGCGACTGTGTCGGTGAGTGAGCGGCCGTGCCAGGGGGGGTGTGGCATTTGGAGGAGGTGATTTGGAAAGGGCGGGATCACCCTGGTTAACCCAAGGTATGAATATGTGCTGGGGGAGGTCACACGTGAAAGCAGCTCCGTGAATTAATTCTTCAGCTCAAAAGGATGGGCTTTTAATTTTTTTTACATGTATTGAGCCTAAAAAAGCTGATTCTGCAAAGCTTTCTTGTCCTCACTGATTGCAACCAATTACAAGATGGATGGCCTGGATTTAAAAGTATCAGTGGGCTGCAGCAGCTGGCAAAGTATGTCTTAAACAGCTCAACAAGGAGATGGTGGGAAGGAAGGGGACACGTCATGGATGTTATTGTTCCTTTCACTAAGGCAGTAAAAATCCTGCTTGGGTAGACAACAAGCTCTTTCTTAAATTAATAAATAACAAAAACAAATCCACTAGAATGATGAGCTGAAATGACCACCCTGTCACCATCATCTCCTGTGGCCATACCTTGTGCTTTTAGGTCACTTGCTGAATGTATTGTCAGTGTTGTGTTCATGGATTTTGGGTCCTCTGGAATGTAGGAGGTGTGAAAAACTGCTGCCCAGAGGTACTCTGGTGCCCAGGGACTCCATCCCTGGAGGTGTTCAAGGGCAGGTTGGATGAGGCTCTGAGAAGCCTGTTCTAGTGGGACGTGTCCCTCCCCATGCAGGGGAGTTGAAACTAGATGATCTTCAAGGTCCCTTCCAACTCCAAACATCCTGTCATTCTGTGGATCAGGAGCGGGGTCACAGTGCCGGCAAAGCTCCCACTTGTTCCCCTCTTGGATGTTACGGTCGGGATGGGAAACACCAAGTGACTGCTGAGCCTCCCACCCGGCTGTGGGTCGGGAGAGCAGCAAAACCAAAAAGTTGGTGGCTTTGGTTTCCCCTTAACCACTTGGCTAAATCCCATGGGTCCTCCAGCTCCGAAACCTGGCTAAAATCCAGGTTGTTCCAGCTATTTTAAGCCAAAGTAGCTGGTTTGAGTTACTCAAATTAACCCAAAATTTGGACCGGATCTGTGCTTATGCCCGCAGCTGTGTTTGCTGCTGGGATGCTGGGTTGTTTGGTGGCTGATCCCACTGGGATGCCTTGAAAAGGCACCAAACTCTTGGATTTGGGGTTTTGTTTGTGTGTGTGTATTTTTCTTGGCATGTGTTGGGATTTGTTAGACTTCACAGCAAGTGCTGAAGAGATTTCCCAGCCCTGGCTCCAACTCCATCCAAGAGCTGGGACCTGCACCTTCCCTCCCTAAAATTGCTCGTGTAGCTGCTCTGGCCCCTGGGAGAAGCAGGGTGAGGAATTGGGGCATCCAGCTGGAAAACCAAGCCCCAGCACTGCTAGGAGAGGTGGCCTCAGGCCAAGCCCAAGCTGCTCTTTATTAACATTAGGATGATTTCTTGATTTGCTCCTCAATTGGCCCAAATGATGCCGAGCCAATCAAAGGTTTTCCTGGAGCCGCTCAATCTCACCTCGGAATTTCACTCCAGTAGAAGTTTTGGGTTGTTTCTCAAGGAGAAAGGAGTGAAGTGGGAGCAGGGGCTTCTGCTTGATGAGGTGTTGTTGGACAGTGAGATGAAACCAGCCCTGGCCGTGCCGCTCCGTCTGTGTCCGGCAGCTGCGGCCCAGCTGAGCCCGGCTTCTCTCCCTCCCCTGGCTCCTGGCCAGCTCCACGTGATGGGAATGAAAATCAGGGCCAGGGGAGAGGGGAGGTAGGAAGAAGCTTTGAAGGAGATGGGAAGAGGCATCCAAGGAGATGGGAAGAGGCATTGAAGGCAGCTGTGGTGCTGGGCGGCTCCCGCCTCTTGGAGCTTCCCCTCGCGCTGGGATCGACCAGGGCTGCCTGGAGCTCCTGCGTGTGGCACCATCCTGCCCAGAAATCCTGCGGGGGGTTGGTGCTGCTGGGGAGTGTTGCTTGCAGGGCCCAGCACCCTTGTCCATAGCCCAGCACCCTTGTCCATAGCCCAGCACCCTTCTCCATAGCCCAGCACCTTTCTCCATAGCCCAACACCTTTCTCCATCACCCAGCACTAGCCCAGTACCCTTCTCCATAGCCCAGCACCCTTCTCCATAGCCCAGTACCCTTCTCCATAGCCCAGCACCCTTCTCCATAGCCCAGTACCCTTCTCCATAGCCCAGCACCCTTCTCCATAGCCCAGCACCCTTCTCCATAGCCCAGCACCCTTCTCCATAGCCCAGCACCTTTCTCCATAGCCCAGCACCATTCTCCATAGCCCAGCACTCTTTACCCATAGCCCAGCACCCTTCTCCATCACCCAGCACCCTTTCTCCATAGCCCAGCACCTTTCTCCATAGCCCAGCACCCTTCTGCATAGCCCAGCACCCTTTTCCCATAGCCCAGCACCCTTCCCCCAAGCAGAATTACCCACCTCCTCTGATCACTGGCAGAGCTCATCCAAATGCTCCAGACAAATTCCCGGGGCCGGGATGGAGCTGCAGTACCTGCCGGGATGCTTGGAGGGGCTGCAGCCCCATGGGGAGAATTCTCAGCCCCCCAGGGGGTTTTCAGGCCCCTTGGGGGGGTTTTGGGTCCCCGCAGGGCGCAGGTCTGAGCACCCATCCCCTTGCTCCCAGTTTCAGTGCTGGGAGCAGCAAATGAAGAGGAGCTGCCAGGTCGCTTAACGAACCCCTCATTGCATCTTCCCTTCCCCCGTGCACCGAGGGGAAAATGCCCTAGTGGGACCTCTGGCTTTTGGTGCAAAAGGGCTTGATTTGAGAGAATTCCGTTTGGTTTCCTCGGAGGCAATCAGTGGAGGTGCAAACCCTGAAATCTCTTGTTTCCCCCCTCCTGTCCCTGCAGAGCAAATCGTGGAGAAGGACGAGGGGCCCTACTACACCCACCTGGGCTCGGGACCCACCGTGGCCTCCATCAGGGAGCTCATGGAGGAGCGGTAAGGGCCTGGCCCAGGGGGGGAGGGAGGGTGAGGAGGGGCTGGGGGGGTCTCTGGGGGCCTGCGAGGGCACGTGGGAACCCATGAGGGTGAGGAGGAAGTTTTGAATGTGAATCGGGGTCTATGAGAAGTCCCATGAGGGTGAGAGGGTCTTGTGAAGGTGAGTGGGGGTCTGTGAGGGGTCCTGTGAGGGTGACGGGCTCTTGTGAAGGTGTTTTGGGGTCTGAGGGATCCCATGAGGGTGAGGGAGAACTTTTGAAGGTGATTTTGGGTCTGTGAGGGTGAGGGGGGGCTCATTTGGGAGACTGAAGGCCCATGAGGGTAAGTGGGGTCCTGTGAGGGTGAGAAGGTCTATTGAAAGTGAATAGGGGTCTATGAGGGGTCCTGTGAGGGTGAGGGGGGGCTCATGAGGGTGAGAGGAGGCCCATGAGGGGTCTTGTGAGGGCAAGTGGGATCCTCTGAGGTTGAGTGTGATCCTGTGAGACTAAGCATGGGTCTGTAAGGGGTCCCATGAGGGCAGGGAGGGACCTGTGAGGGCAGGTAGGGGCCCAAGAGGGCTCGTGGGGAGCTGTGAGGGGTCCTGTGAAGGCAAGTGGTGTCAGTGAGGGTGAGTGGGGGTTTCTGAGGGGGAGTGGGGTCCTGTGAGGACAAGTAGGGGCCCATGGGGTCTAGTGGGGACCTACAAGAGGTCCCATGAGGACAAGTGGGAGTCTGTGAGAGGGAGTGGGGTCTCATGAGAGTGAGTGGGGGCCAGTGAGGGATCCTGCGGGGCCAAGAGGGGTCCTATAAGGTCAAGAGGGGACTCATGAGGCTGGTGGGGACGAGTGGGGCTGACACCCACCCCTGGCAGGTACGGCGAGAAGGGCAAGGCCATCCGCATCGAGAAGGTCATCTACACAGGGAAGGAGGGGAAGAGCTCCCGGGGCTGCCCCATCGCCAAGTGGGTGAGTGCCTGCACCCTGGCTCTTGTCACCCCCCTTGGAGCCCTTCCTGGGGTCATGCTGCTGCCTGTCCCCTCCCTGCCTGGGGACAAGGATATCCCCTCCGGTGGTGGCCGCAGTGGGAAGGGGTGGGATGATCCATCTGTGGCTGATGAGGAGAAAGCAAAGTTTCCCACCCCTGGGGAAACTCAACAGGGTTTCCCACCCTCAGCATAGGACCTCTGTGCCTGCAGCCCCTGGGCTGGGCACGTCCCTCCCCGAGCACCCCAAAAGCCCATGGGGGTGGATGCCACCATGGCAGCCCCCACAGCTCAGCTGTCCCCCAAAATCCCCATGGAGAGCCAGAACCTGAAAGGGTTGTCAGGCACTGGCACAGGCTGCCCAGGGCAGCGGTGGAGTCACCATCCCTGGAGTTACTTAAGTCATATAGACATAGTACTTAGGGATATGGCTTGGTTAAGGACTTGTCAGTGTCAGGTTAAGGGTTGGACTCAATGACCTCAAAGGTCTTTTCCAACCAAGGTAATTCTGTGAACCCCATTTTTGGGGTCACCCCACACCCATCGGATGGTGCGACTCGGTTTTCCAGGTGATCCGAAGACACAACCAAGAGGAGAAGCTGCTGTGCCTGGTGAGGCACCGGGCTGGCCACCACTGCCAGAACGCTGTCATCATCATCCTGATCCTGGCCTGGGAGGGGATCCCCCGCACGCTGGGTGACACCCTGTACCAGGAGCTCACTGACACCCTCACCAAGTTCGGCAACCCCACCAGCCGCCGCTGCGGCCTGAACGACGAGTAAGTTCATGGAGAGGGGGTGGGAAAGGGATCTGGAGGGGGTTCCTCCCCCCCCGCCCCCAACCCATTTTTGGAGCTGACACCTCTTCACCATGTCCCTCTCACAGCCGGACCTGCGCCTGCCAAGGCAAAGACCCCAACACCTGTGGTGCTTCTTTCTCCTTCGGCTGCTCTTGGAGCATGTACTTTAATGGCTGCAAATACGCCCGGAGCAAAACTCCCCGCAAGTTCAGGCTGGTGGGGGACAATCCCAAAGAGGTAGGTGACATGGGGAGAGCAGGGGGAAACCAGTGGGGCTGTGGGTCCACACCTTGTATCCCCAGCTTCAAGTTTTCATAGAATCTGTGACTGGTTTGGGTTGGGAAGGACCTTAATGATCATCCAGTCCCACCCCTGCATGGGCAGGGACACCTCCCACCAGCCCAGGCTGCTCCAAGCCCCATCCAACCTGCCCTTCAACACCCCCAGGAATGGGGCAGCCACAGCTTCCCTGGGCAACCTGGGCCAGGCTCTCACCACCCTCACACCAAAGAATTCCCTCCTCATCTCCAACCTCCATCTCCCTCTCCCAGTTTTCATTCATCCCCCCCAACCCATCCCTCCCTGCCCTTGTCCCAAATCCTTCCCCAGCTTTCCTGGAGCCTCTTCAGGCACTGGAAGGTTCTCTAAGCTCTCCCAACCTGTGTTTATGCTTGGGATTGCCCCAACCCAGGTGCAGAACCTTGCACTTGGCCTTGTTGAACTTCATGCATTTTGCACAAGCCTGAGAATTAGATTCCTTGTGGCATTTTTGATTAATTAGAGAGATGAGGGAAGAACAGACAACAGGGTGTCCCAAAGCCAGGACTTTTGGTGTGACAGCAAGTGCCAGTATGAGGTGGCATGAATGTGTTTTCTCTGGAAACCCCAAGGAAGATGCCAGAGGAATCATGGGTTGAGCAAACAAAAGCACAACAGACCCTGGGCCTGGAGGCTGAACAGCCAGAACCTCACCAGGAATTTAAACCAGGGGCTTTGTGATGTGAGGGACATGGTGGGAAGGGTCAGAGAATCTGCTGCCAACCCCCCTGGGTGACATCTCCCTCTTTTCCCTCCCACAGGAAGAGTTGCTCCGGAAAAGCTTCCAGGACTTGGCCACCGAGGTTGCCCCACTTTACAAGAGGCTGGCACCACAAGCCTACCAGAACCAGGTACCACCCGCTTGTCCCCTTTGAGTCATGCCAGCCTGGTGGCCAGCAGAGATGGGCGTGGGGTGGTGGCATGTAGGAGGTTTTGGACAACTGGAGCCTTGTCCTCCTTGCCAGGTTACCAACGAGGACGTGGCAATCGACTGCCGGCTGGGCCTGAAGGAGGGGAGGCCGTTCTCGGGGGTGACAGCGTGCATGGACTTCTGTGCTCATGCTCACAAAGATCAGCACAACCTCTACAATGGCTGCACCGTGGTGAGTGGTTGCCCGAGCTCTTCAGGATTCTCCCTCCCTGTTTGGTGCTACTTTTTGAGCCACTTGGTCCCCAGCGTTCCCAGTTTTCCTTCCTGTGTGACTCCAGTGGGTGGTCGTTGGTCTTTGCACACCTCAGATGGAGCCATGTAGGTCCATTGGGTGCTGGAGCCACCACACATGGATGAAACCACAGGGCATCATGTGCTTCCCTGTGTCCAGCATCCTCATCAGGGTGGGCTAGATGAGTGGCCAGTGAGGTGGGTGGAGAGCTGGCTGTGTGACACAGCTCAGAGAGTTGTGACCAATGGAGCAGGGTCCACTTGGGACCAGGGGTCAATACTCAGTCTGGTCTTGTTCAACATCTTCATCAATGACTCAGATGAGTGAATAGTGTACCAGCAAGTTTGGTGGTGACACCAAACTGGGAGGGGTGGTGACACTGCAGAGGGCTGTGCTGCCATCCAGAGACCTGGGCAGGCTGGAGAGCTGGGCAGAGGAACCTCATGAGGTTCACCAAGGGGCAACTGTAGGGTCCTGTATCTGGGGAGGACAAACACTAGGCAACAATTGAGGTGAGGGGTGGAGAGCAGATCTGAGAAGAAGGATCTGGGAGTTCTGGTACACAGTAAATGATCCATGAGCCAGGAATGTGCTCTTGTGGCCAAGAAGGCCAATGGAATCCTAGGGTGCATGAGGAATTGTGGCCAGGAGGTTGAGAGAGATCATCCTGCCCCTCTGCTCTGCCCTGGTGAGGCCCCATTTGGAGGCTGCTCAGGCAGGTTGTGGAGTCTCTTTCTCTGGAGATATTCAAACCCCCCTGGATGCAGCCCTGTGGGATCTGCTCCAAAGTATCCCACATTAGTGGGGAGTTGCACTAGATGATCTCTAGAGATCCCTTCCAGCCCTGACAATTCTGGAATTCTGTGAAGCCAAACCTTTCAGGAGGTTTCCAAATTCCAGCGGGGAACTGGTGCGGGCTGGGGGGGATGCCAGGCTGGAATGTCTTCACATCCAGGGGGGGTATAAGGAGGAGGTTTTTGTCCTTGTGCCCCACGGGCCACATCCAGCAGCTGTCGGTACCCGCTGCTCCCCCAGGTCTGCACGCTGACCAAGGAAGACAATCGCGTGGTGGGGAAGATCCCCGAAGATGAGCAACTCCACGTCCTCCCCCTCTACAAGATGTCCAGCACGGATGAGTTTGGCAGTGAGGAGAACCAAAACGCCAAGGTGGGCAGTGGGGCCATCCAGGTGCTCACGTCCTTCCCCCGCGAGGTCCGCAAGCTGCCCGAGCCCGCCAAGTCCTGCCGGCAGCGGCAGCTGGAGGCCAGGAAAGCTGCTGCAGAGAAGAAGAAGCTGCAGAAGGAGAAGCTGATGACACCAGAGAAGATCAAGCAGGAAGCACTCGAGCTGCCTACGCTCCAGCAGAACACAGGTAATGGGGGCAGAGCTGAGGTCCTGCCTCCCCGAGATGTCTGAAAAGTGTGTGAGGGGGTGGGATTGGGGGCTTTCTGGAGCTGGTGGCATCGAGCTCTTGGTGTGTTGAGGTGCAGGATGGCATTTCTATGGCACTGGGGTTTATCCCTGTGTTGTGGCGTGGTGGGGAGCTCTTACCACAACCCAGAGCGTGGGTGCAAATGGGGCAATGTTGTTGTTGTTGGTCAGCAAGCCCGTCACCTTGGGATTTCTTAGTCTGGTGGAGTTTTTGGGGTCCTCACTCTCCACCAGTGGCTTCCTGGGCCGGGGGGTCACGGGGGCTGTGTGTGCTGTGCCCGCAGGTCTGGCGTTGAAAAGCGGGTTGCCCCCGCAGCCGCTGAAACCCTCCATCAAGGTGGAATCCCAGAGCCATTACAACGCCTTCAAGTACAATGGCAACGCGGTGGTGGAGAGCTACTCGGTGCTGGGCAGCTGCCGGCCCTCCGACCCCTACAGCATGAACAGTGTTTATTCTTACCATTCCTACTATGCACAGCCCAATCTGCCTTCCGTGAACGGGTTTCACTCCAAGTTCGCGCTTCCCTCCTTCGGCTACTACGGCTTTTCCAGCAACCACGTGTTCCCCTCTCAGTTTCTCAATTACGGGGCGCCCGAGAGGAGCGGGAGCAGCTGGGTGAGCAACGGCTATGAGAAGAACCCCGACGTCCCGGCCTTGCAGGAGAACCTCAACCACTCCTACGGGAACACTGATTTCCCTGAGCCCATCCCGCACAGCGTCCGGAGCAAAAACCATCACCAGCGCACCTACGAGCGGGCCAACCGCTACGCCAGCCAGCAGAAAGTGGCGGGCGGGGGGGGCCAGAGCGGGTCCGGGC